TGAGTTATATTCAAGAAAATTACAATATTCTCTAAATTGAGGAAATGCAATAAATTCATAATATCAAAGACAAAGTATGTGATAATTTAAGATACAGAATCAAATACATTGAGACAATAATGCCAGATTCAAAAGAACATGAGACAGAAAACTTTGAACAAAGGAATCCGAGGTAAGCGGGAAAGCCGGCATACTATTTTGGGCTATAAAATCTTAATCCAAAACTTTTCTTAGGTTAATCTTTACAATTTATGAGAATCAAAGTTAAAAGAGTCAATTAACAAGGTTATGATCATGGTTACTAACCTAAAATTTACAAAAATCCATGGAAATAAGAGCTGTGCAGCAGGTGACGTGTACTGTAAGCCACCAAGGGACGCTATGAAATGGCGCGGTTGTCTACCAAACTTGAGACTATCAGGAGAAAGAAAATCCACATGTGAAAATGTGAGACTGAAGAGAATGTAAATTCTCCAAAAACAGAGTTATTATTTAAGAAGTTCAATGTCTATTAAAGATGAATATTCATTTAAATTTGGTTTTTCTTTCCAAATCCATAGACTTTCTAAAATGATTAAATCAAAGTCAAAAGGGGAGGAGTCTAGGATTTCAAAATTCTCTGATGAGAAAGAATGGTTTTTTGCTTCACAGTGGCTTCTAATTGAAGATTTATTTGGTCTAGTTAGTTTGTAATTAGTATTCCTAAATGAGAAACCTTTATGTTCTTCAATTCTCATGAAGAGATTACGGGAAGTCTTCCCAATGTAAGTAGCATCGCAGCTACCGCACGTGAATTTGTATACTATTGAAGAGCGTAAAGGTTTCGGTACTTTGTCTTTAAATTTAAATAAATTACTTAATGAGAGGGAGGTTGTATATACTACTTTAAGAGTAACAGTTGAGTAGTGAGCTTTAATTAGATTTGATAATTTTCTTTCTAGACCGTGGCTAATAGTTCCAAGATAAGGTAGTTTCATATAAATTACATCCTTAGAGACAGTCAATGTGGGTTCTACAGGGACCAAAAGTCTATTGAGAGTTGTCCTTATGTTCTTTTCAATAAAATTAATTGGGAACATGTTCAATCTTAGAATATTTGTGATAAAGTCAATTTCCTTAATGAAGATAAAATAATCCTTGGAAATTTTGAATGCTTTGAAAATCAGCGTAGAGATTAAATTCCCCTTATATTTGATAGGTATATAAGAATTAAATTTAGTTGTTAGACCCGTGTAAGTTGGTTTTCTATAGACTGAGGAGACAAAAGAATTCATATCCCTTGAAATATCAATATCCAAAAAGGGAAGGTGTCCATTCTGTTCAATTTCACAAGTAAATTTAATGTTAGGATGTTGATTATTAAGGTATTCCAAGAATTTGTTAACTTCATCTTCGGATTTGAATAACAATAAAGTATCATCAACATATCTGAAATAATGTTTGGGTTTAAATTCTATAGGGCAAATTTCAAGCCATTTACTTTCATTATAACACATGAAAATGTTCGCTAAAGTAGGTCCTAAAGGGCTTCCCATTGCAACCCCTTCAATTTGCTTGTATAAAGTTCCATTAAACCAAAACATTATATCCTTTGTGGCAATATCCAAAAGTTTTTTAAAATACATTCTATTAAATCCCAAAACTTTATCAGATTTATCAAACAAAGAGTTCATAATGATGGCTATGGTTTCGTCTAGAGGGACATTAGTGAACAAATTAGTGACGTCAAAACTAGCTAGGACATAATCATTTGCATGTGGGATCTCAATTAATTTTTGAACAAAGGTGAAGGTGTTCTGTATGGTATATTGATTCAGAGTGAGGCGTTTTAGAATGGGAATGAAAAATTTTGAAACATTATAATTAATGGTTCCCAATGCTGAAAGGATGGGTCTGACGGGTAAGTTTGCTTTATGAATTTTGGTTAAACCATATAAAATTCCAGGTCTTGAGCCAGAAGTAAAAAGGGAAGAGTAAGTGGACTCGTTAATTAAGCTTATCCTCATTTTTGATAATAAGTGATTCAGGTTTGTTAGGAATTTGGGAGAATTTTGTTTTATCTTTAAGAATGTCATCAACTTTTTTAACAGGGTTCTTAGACAAGTCTTTAAGGGTTTTGAGGTCATTAGTTGATAACCCATCTTGAGTAATTTCCTTTTTATAAGTATAAAAAGTGGAAAAGGCCAAATTCTTAATACTTGATTTAATGTGATTATTGACATTTGGAAATTTATTTGTTGGTTTGTGAGTGTAAAGTGACCTAAGTAATTTTTCAAAAGATAGAAAAAAAATGAGGCTCGGGGGAGGTGGGCCTTGCCATTCCTCTTCCCTCCAGAGATAACATCTTTAGCAACATCTCATATAGTATTAAATGGTGGGGGAGGGGAAATGCCCCGCGTGGAGGGCGACTGCTGGGGCGCAGGATGGGAACGGAAGCTACTTGTCCCGCCTGCGTTCTGGCAGCCGCCAGCCTGGAATGATACTTGTGGGGCAATTGAGG